GCAGGCACCATAACACCAAGATATTTATAGGTGTCAGTTCTTGCAATAGTTTGTCCATCTAACCTTGGAAATTTACTTAATTTTGATTTGGTTGATTATGAGACCAAGGGAAACACATTTTTTGCTGAAGCTCTGAAAAACATAATCACCCCTACCAAATACCTGAATAAGAATGTCATCAGCATAGGATGTGATACTGCATAGTGCAATTAGTATTGTAGGGGACAATACTCCCCCTTGTGGAGTGCCTAATTCTAATTCACCATTATCACTGGAGGTGCTCTGGTATCACAATTTTGCTCTTCTTAAAGACAGATAATCCTTTATCCATAGCAGAAGCTTGCCCTTAACTCCTAAATGTGTTAATTCATGTAGGATTGCAGTAGGGGAGGCTCTGTCAAATGTTACCTTGATATCTATGAAGCAAGAAGACTGTATATTATTTCCATATAGGTACTGTGCTACACACATTTGTGTTCCTTCTCCTTTTTGAAAGCCAAAGACAGATGAATGGGTCATTTTTTTATTTATTAATAATGGGTTTAATAATCCATGGCTAGAATATGTGAGAAACATGGTTGGTATGATGTTAACATAACGGAGTAGTATGCTAGAGAATCTGCCTGTTCATTGCTGGTGATTACGACAAGGGGAATGGGAGAGGAGGGTATCCATGCGAATGGAGAAAGGAGTAGGTAAACATGGAAAAGAAGTAAAGGTGGGGAGCAAGGATGGTGGGATAGTTCCTTTGATTAGGGAAAGTGGAATCAAGCATTGCATCAGAGAGAGAGAGAGAGAGAGACAGAGACAGAGACAGAGACAGAGAGAGAGAGAGAGAGAGAGAGAGAGAGAGAGAGAGAGAGAGAGAGAGAGAGAGAGAGAGAGATGAGAGAGAGAGAGAGAGAGAGAGAGAGAGAGAGTATGAGTGAGAGAGAGAGAGAGAGAGAGAGAGAGAGAGAGAGAGAGAGAGAGAGAGAGAGAGAGAGAGAGAGAGAGAGAGAGGGAGGGAGGAAGTGGAAGGAAGGGCGGGAGTTAGGGAAAGAGAGAGAGAGAGAGAGAGAGAGAGAGAGAGAGAGAGAGAGAGAGAGAGAGAGAGAGAGAGAGAGAGAGAGAGAGAGAGAGACAGACAGACAGAGACAGAGAGAGAGAGAGACAGAGAGAGGGAGGGCATGCCTGACTCAGTGTACAGGCTCTCAACTGGAGAGGAGCGGAAGGCGCTTAGGGCTAAGCGAAGACCGCAGTGGTGGATTGTATCAAGACAAGCAGGGAGGCAGAGGAATAGATCCGGCATCCATAATTGAGGGTAGAGAGGATCAAGGTAACATGAAGATGGAAGAGTTTTGCGATCTGAGCCCTAGGATATATGGGAAAGAGTTTGTAAAATTCGGAGGCAGTGATATGCTATAAAGATATGGTCTCACCAGGGCAATTCTGAGTCAAAAATAATGCCAAGGAATTGGAGTGGAGTGCCATATATGATGAGTGGAGGTTTGGGACTTACATGTGTGTGAGAGAAAAGGATGGGGAAAGATTTGGAGGTAGAAAAGCGAAAGCCATGGTTAGTGGTCTAGGAAGATACTGATGATATTGCAGACTGAAGGAACTGGCAGAGATTTGCCATGGATGTGCCAGAGGCAAAGATGGTTAAATCATCAACATATAGTGATGATCGGTCTCCTGGTGATAAAATTAAGAAAGTGTCATTAACGGCAAGAAGGAATGTCTTTAAGGAGAGACTTTATAAAGACACCCATGTTATTGTGTATGCCTAGGGAGGACAATTGTTGGAGAATATGGTACCGCCATGTGGTATATGCTTTTTCTAGGTCAAAGAATATGGCTAATATGGATTCATGGAGTGCAAATGCAGACGTAATATACCCCTCGAAATGAGCAAGGGGGGTTACCTGGAAATGGGGGAAACCAAACTGGGAAGGAGAGAGAAGATTGTGAGATTCAAGATACCACATTAAGCAGAAGTTAACCATTCGCTCTAGTAGTTTGCACACGCAGCTAGTTAGAGAGCTATGGGGTGGTAATCTTGAGGGAGGGTATCCAATTTATTGGGTTTCAAAAAGGGGAGCATAAGAGCTCGCTAATGAGAAGGAAAATTTCCTGACGTGGATGAAAATATTTAATAGAAAGGATAGAGAAGATGATGAAAGGTGTCGGTGCATACGGTAGTGAATACTGTCAAAGCCTTCATGAGTGTTGTAGCATGATTGTAAAGCTGCATTGAGTTGTGAGGAAGAAAAAGGAGCATTATAGGACTCAGCAGAGGATAGGGTGAAGATGATGGGGGTGCATTCCTTGATAGATATAAGTGTGGAGAAAAGTGAAAGCCACTGCTGACCTGGCTGAAAAAGTCACCTAGTTCACTAGCAACTTGGAAAGGATCAGAGATGAGAATATCTGAAATATGGAGGACAGGAAGGGGGGATGTTTGCCTGATAGTTTATGAATCCGACGCCAAACAGCTGAAACTGATGTAGATGCAAATGAGGAAACATAATTTCACCAGCTAATTGTTTTACTGTTCCAGATTGTATGTTGAAGACAGGCAGATGCATCTTTAAAAGTAGGTAAGGGCTGATAGTTCATTAGGGGTCTCGTTTGTAGCAATAACTGTTTCAGGCTGCATGTTTTAAGCGAAGTGCTTTGGTGCAATCAGAATTCGACCATGGAACACATTTGGAGGTGTAAGTCTTGAGGTTCGAGGAATGTATAGACAGCTCCTACGACTGTAGCTGTGAAACAGTGTATCAAATCTGAAAAGGACAAGAAAGGGGATGGAGGAGCAGGAATAGCAGAGAGTAAGTTAAAAGTATGCCGGTTGGCTCTATCAAAACACCAATGTGGGGGTTAGAAAGTGATACATATGAAATAGGAGAAAGGAGGACTGGAAAGTGGTTACTATAGGGAAAGTGGTCTAGAACTGACCAAAGGAAATCTAAATGGAGAGAAGGGGAGCATAGAGAGAGGCCTAGGCATGAAAAAGATTGTGTGCATATGTCAAAAGTGTGTGAATTAAGAATAATAAGGTCAGTTGTGGAGAGGAAATGTTCTAGGTATCAACCAAGGGAAATGGTGATAAATCACAAAAAGAGCATGTAGGCAGTTAAAATCACCTACTCAAAAGAATTTTTAATTTTAATTTATTTTTTAATTTTTATTTTTATAGTTTGATTCCATTTGTTACAATGGATATTCTTGGTGTGACATACTGGCTGTTTCATTTTGCTTCTAAGTTATCCTGTGTGCAAAGAATGGCCGGGGTTACCATCCACTGATGGCGAGGGATTGAATGCAGGTCAGCAAGATTGCTAGAAGAGATCGCTACCACTGCACCACACAGCATGCAAAAGGTGACTAGAGTTGGGAGATTAGTTTTATTGGTGAAGAAAGATGCGAATAACTGTGCTCGGGACAGTGGTTTGAAAGGCGATATAAGGTGTTTTCTGATGGATAAATATAGATGAGACTGAAATGGAGTGTGAGGAAGAGACAAACTAGTAATTGGGATTGGTATAGGAGGATGTGTAATGAAAGTTTCTTGGAGGCAGATAATGGATGGATCATAAGAAGGGATATGACGAAAGTCAGGTCTGTGAGAATGGAAACCGTGAATATATTCCATTGTTGGAGAGCTATACTTCAGTTGATCTATGAATAATAACGATTACGGTGTGTGTTGGAGAATTTGAAGAAGGATCTGGGGGTGAGATAAGGAATGAGAGGTGGGATATCAGGAGATAGAGGAAGGGGAAGGGCATAGTTGTGACATAAGGGATTAACATGTGTATCCAGGAGGGAGTGGAAGGGATAGAGGGGATGGAGGGAGAGTGCCATAATACCATAATACCCTCCCCCCCTCCCTCTCTCTCTCTCTCTCTCTCTCTCTCTCTCTCTCTCTCTCTCTCTCTCTCTCTCACACACACACACACACACACACACACACACACACACACACACACACACACACACACACACACACACACACACACACACACACACACACACTTTTTTTCTATTTCTGTTACAATTGCTAACAATGTTTTGACATATAAATAAATCATTGACTAAATAAAGTGCGAGAGTAAATATAACTAAAACTTCAGTCCATAAGTGTAATGATCAAGTTGCTAGTTCCTTTATATAGGGTGCAGCTTGTTTGGATGATTCTACATTTTTTTAGTTGCTTTTCCTATACTACTTTCTTACTACCATAATATAAGACGTTAGTAGTAAACTGATGATCTAAATATATTTCAACTGTATGCTGACTTTCTGAATTCCCAATATTCTTCATTTACAACTAAATTTTTTCAATGGCATTACAATGGTGTCCACAAATGTCTTCGCTCTATTATAACATATTTGGCCATTTGACTGCGTGAAATGATGTTGCATATTTAGCCGCAAAGTGAATTTATAATGGAACAATAAAACACTTTAACTTTTAAATTAATATTTTTTCATCTCCAAGTGTCATGAACACTGCATATAACATAATGTTCTTATTTTCACTTAATATTGTAACAATCTTTATTATAGACAATTATAAAAATTGGTTATATACATTATCCTACAACCATTGTTCCCTACATCACAGGACAGCTTGTAAATAGTTTTACAGATCTTTTACTCCCATAAATTTCTTTGCCATTCATAATCAATAAGAATAAACTCAATGAAACACATACTCTGATATAAACCTTCTAATTACTATTGTTTTTGCAGTGAGTACTATTTTCTGTTCTTTCTAATCCATTCATTATTAAACAATCAAAACTATGGATGAATAATAATATATAAAAGGATACAAAACTATGTTGGTATCCCAATTAATATACACTGGAAATGTAATGGCAATACGCCAAGGCATTTATTTAAATAACAAATTAGACTTTTTCCTTTTTAAATGCTAGTATTGAAAAAAATGATATTTGAATGTAAACATATTACCTCAGTTACAGTGCTGCAAAACAAGTCCACTAACAACTAAGGGTCTTCACTTAACATGTTTGGATTACCAAGGGGCTCTTTCTGATAATCATAAAGAAGAATAAATTATGAAGCTGAACAGCATAGACACTTCATCATCTACTAACAAAATAATTAAACTATTATTTATTCAACATGCACTGAACTTTTAAGAAATCAAGAATTTGTAACTAACCAATGAGATATTAAAACTGAAAGAAACATAAAATAATTACATATATACACATGCATATATGGCAGCACTACATATGTGGATACTTTGTTATCCACTTGCATTTTCAATATATACCACTAAATATAACTTCTAATTACCCTCCCTCTTATTGCAGGCATGTGCTTTAGAATATTGTTTAAATATTACAGAAAAACAACATTAATTTCTCGTTCATTTTGTCTGCTTATATAGGGTATATTCTATGTATGGAGAGGTAATTTGGGTGCTGTTAAATTTTATAATGCATTATTTATCTGTCTGGTAAAACTAAACAAAAGCAGGAAAAATAATTTCATATTTACATAAATTTCAGAAGAAATAAGTGAATAGTCATGAAGGAATGACCTTGTCATTACATTTATGTGAAAAACAATAAATTTGGTGCCTAGAAAATATTCTGTGCTGTGTCTACAAAAGAACACACCCACCTAATGAAGCCACTGTATAAGACTATGTAACTACTGTGCACAGTTAGTCTGGATAAAAGAAATGGAATTTTGCAGTAAATCCAGCACCCACTTAATATTTTAAGAAAAATATTTGTATATAAAATTTACTGCAATCTGAAATCCTCTTCTATAAGCTACAAAATACAAAACTAAGGAGTAATCTCATTTTTACCTACAAAATTTTGCAGCTATATTTAACGTATAATAGTGCTACATGCATGAGTATTCATATTCAATAAACATACATAGAACATGACAGTACAACTGTGCCTTAGTGTGGGTGTGTATGTGTATTCCATTCATATGTATAAATAAGACCATATACAATGCTTTACAAGTTATAAATGTTTAGACAGCATTTTATCACAAATCTAATAAACTGAAAAATGACAAAAATTATTGTATCAGAAAAAAAGGGAAACTTGTTCAGCTTTTCATTATATGCAAAATTGGAATGTTTAAAAATATAATAAAATAATTATCATATTGATAATCATTTCAGAAATAATAAAAAATCATGCTTCACTTAGTAATGACCAATTTTACTCCAATTTATGGTGGTTACCTCCCCTGTACATTCTTAATTTTACAAGGTCAAAAAAGAAAGAAAGAAAGAAAGAAAATAAATATATACAGACACATGAACTGAAAAATAACTATATAAAGATATGAAATAAAAATTAAGATCCTAATAAATTTAAATCCCTAGTATAATGCTCAATGTTTATCTACCTTTTCTCCATCATCTTTAAAGATTCCAATATGCATGAGCAACACTGGTATTTTTTATAATTTAATAACGCTTTATCTTATATATTATGACCAATATAAATATTTTTTAAACACAAGCTACTGATGCAATGCATCAAAATATCAAGCAGAAAACAGATGCACAAGCTTAGCCATACATACGGTGGAGCATTCTCTTTCCAGCTTCAAACAGTAGCAAATCTTGAAATGCTGACAGGCATACATAACTGACCAATGAATCCAGTAGTGTGATGTACCCATGACCACTGCATGGAAAGTACTGTCACAACTTCTTTTGTGCTAATCAGATCATTCTGCACAACTGGTAGGTTAATACCTAACCACAATATGAACTTGCCTGAATGCACAATCACAACAACAAATAAGCAATTCATGATTGACTAAAACATGTAGTCCTTATTTATAAAATCATACCCAAAAATCTCTGAAAGGAAAATTTCATGATGTGAGATTTGTAGTACAAATTATTTAATCAACTATCCTTTGATTGCAAAGTCTGCATGTACTTCAAGGTGCTACTCAGTCTTTCAGATGTCTTATCCCAAGCTGCAAGTAGGCATGCAATATCTTAGCCACCAGTGTCAGAAAGTAAACAGGCTACCCTAGATGATCCTACAATTGTATTAGGTTTCACAGTCTTTAAAAAATATTGTATTGATGTTGGGAGTGCATTTGAAAAGCTTAACTGTAGAAGAAAATCATACATTTTCTAAAAAGCTGATGGAAAGGTTAATATGAATTTCAAATTACCAGGTTTTTAGCAAATAATTCGCAGGGCATTCTTATAGGTATTCTTAATTGTGTGTGTGTGTGTGTGTGTGTGTGTGTGTGTGTGTGTGTGTGTGTGTGTGTGTGTGTGTGTGTGTGTGTGTGTGTGTGTGTGGTGTGTGTGTGTGTGTGTGTGTGTGTGTGTGTGTGTGTGTGTGTGTGTGTGTGTGTGTGTGTGTGTGTGTGTGTGTGTGTGTGTGTGTGTGCGTGTGCATGTGTGCGTGTGCGTGTGTGCACGTGTGTGTGTGTGTGTGCACGTGTGAGTGTGTGCATGTGCATGTGTATTTGTGACCTTGTGTGTTTCTGTGTGTGTGTATATGAATACGTGTGTCTGTGGTGTATGACTATGTAAACAGCAATAATTGTACTCTGGTGTTAGGAATTCAAGAAGGATTTCTAGCAAGAATGAAAAAATAGTTCACAAAGAATATGGTAAATTAAAGAGTACTTGGTGGGATTTTACAGACCTGAGTAAAATTAGTTATACAGAGAATATTTCATTCCTAAAATACATTTAACATTCTTTTCTGTTTTGTTTTATCAACTTATTTTACTTCATTTTACTTTTTTGCTGTGAAGATCCATAAATCCAGTATTCAAATACTGCAGATGAGCACTGTATTAAAACAATATGACAAAGCAAGCTTCCGCACAAATATTCTATGGCAGTTTGTCACTTATGTCAAGAAGGTCAGTTTTCTAAATATCCATCCATGGACAATGCTGCTTGTGAAAATAAGATCTTTGAAATCTAGACCCTAACATAAAAAATCAAAAATTTCTATTTGGTATGCTGAGTTTTATTCAAGGTAGCTCCGGCTGTCTGCGGGTGTTGTTGACTGAAGGGGGCGTGGAGGACATGACCCTGGCATTGCCCTGAGTGAGGAATCCAGCCACACCTGGTGTACCAGCCGTCAAGTATCCAGCCACTGGTGCCGAGTCCAAGAACAGGTCGTGCTTCTGGTCTCTATACTGCGCCCACACTGGAGACTTCTCGAGGAGTGCCACAACCTGATTAGGGGAAAAGATATTGATATTCTGTGGTATTGTGGAGAAAAATAAATACTTAATGTAAATGGCAGCAAGACTAGTTTCAATTTACATTTTGCACTTTTAACTGGTTTACTCTGGATGGTTTAAAAGACGTGCATTGCTTGTGTATGGGGCACTCATCCACGAGTGGTAACTTTGAATGTGTAGTCCTGAGCGGCTCTTATCTAATAGTTTCTTCCTCTCTCTCTCTCTCTCTCTCTCTCTCTCTCTCTCTCTCTCTCTCTCTCTCTCTCTCTCTCTCTCTCTCTCTCTCTCTCACACACACACACACACACACAGAAAGTCGAAAGGAAAGATTCGATGAAGCCTCAAGTTCGTTTCATGGTAAGCAAAGGTAAACTCTCTGATGTAAAGGACAGGGAGATATGGAGAAAAAAGGTAGGACCACAGAGGGGGACTCTGCCAATGACTTCTCATTTTGGGTAGAGGGTGGGGCATAGTCTAGCTGATTTAGGTGATTGGTGGGAAGAGGGATGGAGCTGTGGAACTATAGAATTTTCTAGGGCAATATAAGGAGTCTAAATAACAAAGCCAGAGCAAGATATGGGGATCACTCAACAGCAACTAAAATTAAATGGAATTATGATGCCAATGTTGGCATCACAGTATATTCCATTGGTGCTTCATGAAGCCGAAACTGCAGTCACTGTATTGGCAAATTTATTGTGCTTTTGAATTTGGTAATCACATAAAACTAGAATCTTTATTATTCCTTGATACTCTAATTACTAGAGAAGAGTAACGGTTTTAGAAATCTCTTGGCATCATACACTTTGGTGATTTTTGGCAACTGTCCAGCTGCTGGGAGCGGGAGTCTGCTACATGTAGTGGAACTTCCTGCCACATGTATAGCCGTACCTGGCAGATACACGTGGCCTGGCAGTAACGGGTTAACCCCTCAGTGATGGGTATTAGAAATCTCTCGGTGTCATTTCTGGCAATGTCCAGCTGCTGGGCACATAGCCATATTCCACAGATCACACAGTTTGTTATGATGGTTATACATACAGCCTCTTAAAGCCTCTAAGTCGATGAGAGCTCTTCATGCATCATATGGCAAGCTTTAAGTTTAACTGTGTCTATGAAATATAAAAATATTCATAGCTGCAACCTGACATCTGCCACCACAGATGTGCCCCACTCCCACTCACAAGGAAGACACAAGTTCAACAAAACCTAAAGTTTAGGGGTTAAAGCCTTATTGATCTTGATAAATAAAATTGCTGGCATATCTGGATAAGTTAAAAAATAAGTTATAAAAAAAGAAAAGAAAAAAAGAATGGGTAATGAGTGAGCCAGTCCAGTTGTTCAGAACTTCTTAATACTAAAAGTAGTAGATCTTAACCCTTCAGTGATGGGTATTAGAAATCTCTACATTAATTACCAGTCCAACCTATCCCAACCATTCACCCTTCTCCTTGATTTTATGAAATATTTGATCTTATTTTAATGCTATTAGTATTGTTAATAAAACTGTAATAAATATAATGTTAATATTAATAATAACAGCATTAATATTGATAGCATTACAAAGAAAATGTTTTTCACGCAAACTCAAGGAAGGGGAAAATCAGGTGAGGTTATGTAGATTGAAAATTGACTCTTTGGTGGCTGAACATTTGTTATGGGTAGATACATTTCACAAAATGATACTACACTGAATATTATATTTTCCAAGTAGCACTGGAGTAACTGTTAAAGTTTCCATAAATCTAATATATAAGGTTTTGCATTTAGCTCAACCTGTACCTGTAATAACTCAAGAGTAATTGTGATGTATGTTTTCTCATCTGATTATTTTTTTTTAGTCTAGAATTTTTATCATAAAGCTTAGAACAAAATTAAAGAAAAAGTGCTTACCTCTTCAGAATGTTGTGGTGAGGCTGCCATGGTTTTCAGGCAAGTAACAATCTGAGCTTTAGTGGATGCTGGATTTTGGACTTGTAGTTTAGCATCAAGAAGAGACAAGAGAAAAGGTATGACATTAGCCCGAAGTCCCTGTTCTACAAGGGCTGTTCCTGATAACCCACTTCCTGAGAAAAGATTGTGTAAGGCTTCACACGCCACACCCACAATGTCAGGACGTAACTTCATGGCCGACACCAATCCTGCCACAACTTCAGTGCCCTCGAGAATATTGCCACACACCTGAGAGAGCAGAAAAGAAGAGAACAATTACTGTAGGTGCATACGACACAAAAATCAAACCAATAAACACAATAATTTTTTTTATTTCTTATTTGGTAATTCAGTCTTGAGATAGTGAAAGTTAATATCAATTTTTCTGAAATACACTTTAGCAAAAGGTAGCCCCTAGCTATCTTTTATCCCCTTAAAACAAACACACACACTGCATGCATTTTCTATGAAAATTCAAATTATTGAAATAGAAGAAAAAGAACACATACCTGATTGTGTGTAAACTGATGTGTAGCAAGAGTAGCAGCTCTAGCCACTGTCAGATTTTTTGAGGAAAGGTAAGACACAAGCCTGGGAATATGACCCAACTGTGGCAGGTACTCCAACAGATTACGCTGAGCAATTAATACTGAAACCACTGTGTTCACAACTAGCTCAAGGGTCTCAGCCTAGAAAAAAAATAAAATATAAAATGAAAGATAAGTAACAATAAAGTGAATATAAAGAATAAACCACTCCATGGATTTTATTCTTGTTGATGGATCCACCTAAAAAGTAGTAGATCTTAAACCCCTTCAGTGATGGGTATTAGAAATCTCTACATTAATTACCAGTCCAACCTATCCCAACCATTCACCCTTCTCCTTGATTTATGAAATATTTGATCTTATTTTAATGCTATTAGTATTGTTAATAAAACTGTAATAAATATAATGTTAATATTAATAATAACAGCATTAATATTGATAGCATTACAAAGAAAATGTTTTTCACACAAACTCAAGGAAGGGGAAAATCAGGTGAGGTTATGTAGATTGAAAATTGACTCTTTGGTGGCTGAACATTTGTTATGGGTAGATACATTTCACAAAATGATACTACACTGAATATTATATTTTCCAAGTAGCACTGGAGTAACTGTTAAAGTTTCCATAAATCTAATATATAAGGTTTTGCATTTAGCTCAACCTGTACCTGTAATAACTCAAGAGTAATTGTGATGTATGTTTTCTCATCTGATTATTTTTTTTTAGTCTAGAATTTTTATCATAAAGCTTAGAACAAAATTAAAGAAAAAGTGCTTACCTCTTCAGAATGTTGTGGTGAGGCTGCCATGGTTTTCAGGCAAGTAACAATCTGAGCTTTAGTGGATGCTGGATTTTGGACTTGTAGTTTAGCATCAAGAAGAGACAAGAGAAAAGGTATGACATTAGCCCGAAGTCCCTGTTCTACAAGGGCTGTTCCTGATAACCCACTTCCTGAGAAAAGATTGTGTAAGGCTTCACACGCCACACCCACAATGTCAGGACGTAACTTCATGGCCGACACCAATCCTGCCACAACTTCAGTGCCCTCGAGAATATTGCCACACACCTGAGAGAGCAGAAAAGAAGGGAACAATTACTGTAGGTGCATACGACACAAAAATCAAACCAATAAACACAATAATTTTTTTTATTTCTTATTTGGTAATTCAGTCTTGAGATAGTGAAAGTTAATATCAATTTTTCTGAAATACACTTTAGCAAAAGGTAGCCCCTAGCTATCTTTTATCCCCTTAAAACAAACACACACACTGCATGCATTTTCTAAGAAAATTCATATTATTGAAATAAAAGAGAAAGAACACATACCTGATTGTGTGTAAACTGATGTGTAGCAAGAGTAGCAGCTCTAGCCACTGTCAGATTTTTTGAGGAAAGGTAAGACACAAGCCTGGGAATATGACCCAACTGTGGCAGGTACTCCAACAGATTACGCTGAGCAATTAATACTGAAACCACTGTGTTCACAACTAGCTCAAGGGTCTCAGCCTAGAAAAAAAATAAAATATAAAATGAAAGATAAGTAACAATAAAGTGAATATAAAGAATAAACCACTCCATGGATTTTATTCTTGTTGATGGATCCGCCTTTTTCAAACACAGAAATACAGAAGGAATACACATTGCAGGAACAGTACTTACATCATTGCCTCCCTTTGCAAGAAGATCCAAGAGTGTATCAAAGAGATCTGATGTAAACTGCTTTGGCTTCCGCAGAACCCAGGAAGGATTCGCAACCAAGAGCCGTAGGTATACACCACCCACCACCACCTCTCCTGAGGTTGAGGATAAGGTGATTTCTTCTGGAAACTTCCATACAGCATTTGGATCTTCCTTTTGTTGCAAGTGAATCCTTTTGACAGAAAAAAAGAAAAAAGAAAAAAAATATAAATCCTTTGAAATATTTCTTATTAATTCATTATTTCATAAAAAAACATGGTGCTGAAACAAATATTTTCTGCTAATTCTTAAAAACTATTATGTAATAAATATATCTGTAATATATATCTGAAGTTAAGTTCATGACCAGTTCCCTCTATGATAAAATCAGAACAATTCATGATATTATTATTATTATTACTATTTATCTCTTCATATTCTTTAACCTTAAATCACCAAATTCTTGTAACTGTCACACAAACACTCATTTGCAATATCAAAACTCCTTTGTAATGCTATCATCAATTTCTTTGTACCACCCCCCCAACCTGTATTTCTCATTTGATTTGCTGTATCAAAATGGTAAAAGACCATTTTCCTTGCACAGACTCCTTTATCATCTCACTAGGAAGTCTTTGTATTATTTGTGCCCTTTTTAAATATTTTTGTATTGTTTCATTTTCTGTAACATACCCTGCACCACCTGTCATTGTAGGCAGGAATAGGATCCTGGGCATGGATATAGTATCCTCCCTGGAGCTGGCACTATTCCAGGCATCGCTATTGGATGATACATTCCACTTCCATTTACCAGTGGAAATGATATAAGAGTCCCTTCCAAATTGGCCACAGAATTTAATCTTCCTCTAAAAGCTTTGTGCACTAATTATGACTCATTCCTGCACTGGAGCTATTGGCTGCATTTTTTTATGATGGCATCCCTGCCATCACCTCAGCCCTTAGCCAAAATTTTCCATGATGACATGTTCCTGTCACCTCAGCCAACTTTTTTCTAGACAGGACATTTACAACACCCATGTCCAATGGGTTAAACAGTGTATAATTATCCGTTTTAATATACTTTTCTCCCATTCCCCATTGACTATTCCTACAACACTCATCCATAACAGCACTTACTCTTCCACTAATCTTGAAACGGTCTCTGTCACCCTGACCCTCGATTCGTCAGTCCAGATTAGCTCAGGGTTTTCGTGCTGCGCTTCATACATGTGGACCGCAGTGGATGGCGAGTCTCTCATCTGGTCTACCAGGGCAGAGGGAAGGATCTTGTTCAGAATCAGTCTCACGCGAGGCCCCACCAGCTTATCGCATGTCATCTTGCCCATGAGTTCTGCGGTTTTCTCGCGCACTTCGGAATCATCCGAGGAGCAGAATATGTTCAGAAGGTACATGACAGCTCCTGGAAGAAAATTGTTATTTTAAATTTAATTCTAACAGCTGAATTGATAGATTTTGTTTTTGACATTAGCAGAAGAATTCTACAAACTGAAAGCACTGATACTGATCCAAATTAAAGTAACATCATTACTGGGACAACTGGAAGAAATGATTCAATAAAGAGAGAAGTAATAATAGCAATATATAATAAAATTACCGACAAATTGAAAAGAAGAGAAAAGGAAAAAAAAGGTAATGAGAGTAAAAGAAAATAGGAATAAAGGAAAAGGAAAAGGGAAAATGGCCAAAGGAAAAGCAAATATGAAAATAAAAAAGAGAAAAAGAGAGTGAGAAAAACTGAAAAACAATAACAATAACCAACAACGGTTTTACAGATACCATAGTCAACTCCACTGTTACTATTTGTATTACTGCGGTTCATTCAGCAAGTAAATAAACAGCTATAAAATATAAAGGCAATAGTCATGTTATGTATATATCAAGTTTTAACCCCTCTGATCTGGGTGACATGACCATCATGTAATGAAAAAATCTGGCTTGAGGGGCGGGTGACATGAACATGCCATCACAGGAAAATCTGGAGTTTCGGATGAAGGCCGGGAAAGATTCACCTTTCCATAATTTAATTATTGTTGTACTGAACTGTAGACTACCTAGAGCAATAATATGGAGTCTGTGCAGAGAAAACAGTCTATTACCATCTGAATAACGGAAATCTAATTGCAAATATGGACACTGGAAAATAGCAAAAAGGCGTATGTGTATGTGTAAAAAGAGGAAATAATGTTGCAAATAGGAGGCATAGAGTCTTGTCACAGAACATATGTGTTCATGTCTGCCTGGCTTACAAGATCTACACCCAGCAGAGTGGCCACTCATGTAAGCCTAAAGCCCAGATTTTTGGTCATGTGATTGCCATGACAACCAGATTTAAGGGGTTCACTATATGGCTAACATTCACATAATAATCTCTCCACGACTCAAAATACTAGTCTTACCTTTGTTTAATGCTTCCTTCACAATCTTGGTGTTAGACATGAGTGCATGCAGTATGTTGAGAGCTGTCATGCGGTCTGGGATGAGCGAAGGAGAGTGTAAGGCCAACATCAGGTACACCAACACCTGCAATATAGGAAAGAGTTACTGGTGTTTATTCAAAACCTGAAAAGTACTGATATATCAAATCCTTGAAAAACGACAAGTCAAAACTATCAGTTCTCAACCTAGGCATCACACTATGTTGTGTATAAGTGTATTTCTTGCTTCTGAAATTACTCCTTTTTTGTATGAAAGCCTGGAACAATAGTGAAAATAAATTATGTTAACCTAACCTTGCTTTTAACCATTTTGCTCTGGATGGTTTAAAAGATGCATGTTGCGAGCAGTAACTTTGAATGTTTTGTCCTGAGAGTTTCTTATCTAATACAGTTTATTCCTCACATACATACACACACAGCCTCAAGGTAAACTCACTCACTCACTCTCTCTCTCTCTCTCTCTCTCTCTCTCTCTCTCTCTCTCTCTCTCTCTCTCTCTCTCTCTCTCTCTCTCTCTCTCTCACATCCCAGGTAGAGGGGTAAGGGGTGAAGTAAAGGGTATGGAGGACAAGGGGATATGGAAGACAAAGGTAGGATCAGAGAGAGGGAAACTGTGATGTGGACTCTGCCAACGAGTTTCTCATTTTTGGTAGAGGATGGGGCATTGCCTAATTGATTTACATGATTGGTGAAAAAAGGCTTGGTGGGTGGAGCTAAAGAATTTCAAGGGCAATATATGGAGTCTAAAGAATAGAGCCAGAAGGGAATACAGGATCACTCAGCAGCACTATTCATGATGCTGAAACTGGTGTCACCATATAAAGCAAGTTAAACCAGTATTGTTATTAATTTTTTCACTATGTTTTATATTACAGCTATATAACCCAAACACTGATGGGTGAAGAAAATAAATAAAAATTCTACACTCTGGAGATTAACGGCAACGAGCAGACTTTGAGTGTAGGAGTCTGCTCTATCAAGCTGAATATCGTGCTCCAAGTGCTCTGGTGTCGCTGCGGCATACAGCCGTACCCTACAGACTAAGCAATTTGTTATGACACAGGCGTGGCCCATCAGTAAGGGATTTATGACTTAAAAATCATTAGCAAATCAAATGACAAATATAGAACTTGGAAATGGCTAAAAAGCTAAAGATGCTTATACAGAAAAAGAGAAAATAACATTGCGAAGGGAAAACATGGAGTCTTGTCATCGCACACCAGTGTTCGTGTGCACCTGGCCAACAAGCTACAAACCTATCAGAATAGCCATTCAAGTAAGCCTAATGCCAGTATTTTGGGCTATGTGGATTTCAATCTAATTTTACACAGTTTCTTCCCTGACAATTCTTAAAAATTATGAAAAAAAAGCCAGCTAACTGAATATCCTACTGTGTTAGTATACAAATTGTAGGACAAATGCTTGTATGAAGAGAGATGGGAGTGTTAACTAGACTTTACAGCATATGATGTGCACAATAACTTACTTCTGATGCTGCAATATCACTAACACAGTCTGCATTGCCAGTGACACCCTCCACTACAGCCAACACACACTGCTGTACAGATACACATCCTTCAAGGCGTAACAAGGAAAACAGTAGCTTGAAGTGACCAATGCATTGCATCTCCACACCTGAAGGTATAAATGAAGTGTTAATTTTCTCTTTGTTTTAAGATAATATAAGGTTAATACTTTAGATGGTTCTCAAAATATTTCCTTTGTTTTAAGAAACAACTATATATTAATTCAATACACATTTTTGGAAACAGATTACATATTCAATTCTAAATACACATTTTAGAATTCAACTAGGCAAAAATATTAATACTGTAAAAAGCAACATATAGATAAATAACAATAATGTCAAAGCAATATTGCAAATACTAACAATAATAAAATTATTACAATTTTGACTAGCTGATCAATTACAGTCTAAAAATACAAAACATTAATAGCAGAAACAAGACTAATAGTATTTGTGATTAAAAGCCATCACAAAGATTAGTGTTCTTACACCCAATATAACACCAAGTATCAATATGTGTTTCGGACTGGCTCTCTATACAACTTGGTTTCAAAAAAAAGTTTTCATGTCCCTTGAGGTCTGGTCTGAAGATTATAGTGATCAAATTGACAGTCTAATTTAGTATACTGATACAGTGGTATATAAGATAGACTGAAATCCCTCCTCCCAAAGGGGGAGTGGGGGCTAGATGCCTTTTCACTCCCTGATACTAAGATGCAGTGTGCAACTGCCCTGGTTGCACAAAATCATCTCTATATCTATTTAGGCTTTTATACCAGATTGCTATAGCATTTTCACCAGACCCGTCAGGAAGAGAAACAGCATCTTCCATCTACTAAGTGTCAGGAAATTATCTTTTAAAAATTTTAGACTTATTAAATAAACTACATATTAATACTTGTCTGTCAGAAGTCAGTAATTTACACAAACTAACATTTGGGTTAGGTATTTAAACATAAAACCTCACATTAGCAGAAGCCCTTCATAAAAATGAGACTTGTGGTCTACTTATCATTATTAAAAATATAATATTTGTCTTCTAACAATAAGCTCCTAAGTTAATAAATTACTACAAATTCGGAATACAAGGGTGCTATAATACAATGAAAAGGTCTATAATGCTAACAATAACA